GACGTGGGAGGTCACGACGAGCGTGACAGCCCATTTTGGTGCATCCTGTGCAAAACTGTTTAAAAGTGAAGCCTGTGAGCGCTCACACTGTAGTCAGCATTAATGGTAGATTATACAGTACACGTGTCATTTTATTCTTTATTATTTGGATCTTGGGTTTCTTTTTAGTTTTCGTGGAGAAAATGTGTTTTAGCACATCAAACAAAATAAAATACCCAGTTTTTATAAAACAAAAGAGGCATGCATGGAATTAACTGAATTTAAAGTGTTACTGCCAAATTATTCTAAGTGTTTTTATGTCATTAGTTGCTTTTTTATGCTTAGTGTTGTAAACTGTGATTTCTACTTAAGGAACATGCATGATGTATAATTTTACATTTTTTTGTAAATGTGTTTATTTTGGGTGGCAGTGTGTGACAGCACTTTGTTGGCAGAATTATCTGTATATGGTTATTCTTATTATTCATGTCTGTTCTGCTTTCTCTGTTGCTGTGGATATTGCGACACATTTTTTTTTTGCACAGGCTAATGTCCTTTTACAATACATGAGTGTGCACCCTACAATGATTAATGAGTCTGAAAGACTGCCTGAGGGCTGAGATCAGGTGCAACAAGATTTAACTTTGCAGGAAACACTCAATTCTTTTCCTACACATTCAATTAACCCGTCTGTGTGTACTTTTCTCTGCATCCTCTGCAGAGCCATTCATCTCCGAGCTCGTACGTCAGCCCGCTTAGACTGAGAGGTTCCATTTAAATGCCATATTTTATTTGCAGTTCTTTTTTATTAGCAGTATGAGATTCACCCTCACCAAATGGGGGAAGGGGGTGTTGAATGTTCTGCCCACCCTTTAGTAAAAACACAAAATAGTGGTGGTCACATTACATGCGATGCATATTATTTTTTAGATTTTAAATGCATAGTTTTCAGATTAATTAAACTTTCATTAAAATAAGTCTGATGCTACAATGACAAAAACTGTCTGCTAATTTGGGATTAGTTAAGAATACATTTATTAACATTACCACTAAAGAGGTAAAATAACATTTGT